TAGTAGAGACGGGGTTCCACCATGTTGGCCAGGCTGGTCTCGAACTCCTGACCTCAGGTGATCCACCTGCCTCAGCCTCCCAAAGTGCTAGGATTACAGGGATGAGCCACCATGCCCAGCCCTGGAATCTGTGTTTCTAACAAGTTTCCTGGAGGAGGACTCCAGGAAAATTGCTGATCTAGTTCCACGCCCTACCCCATGCAGTCACCCTTTACAGCCTCCCTAGTAGGTGATTATCCACTTCTGTTCAAATACCTCTGGTGACAGGGAGTTCACCCCCTCTCAGGAAGCCCTTTCCTTCCTTGCATGAGCCCACGTTGGCCTCCTTGTGACCACCCCCTTCTTCCACCATTCAGCCTGTATGCAGTTCCCCAAAGGGATGACCATCCCCACCCTTAGCCTTCTCTGCCTGAGTCCAGCTCTCCCAGTACCTTCCACCGTTCCTCTCCCAAATGTTTCAAAGCCCCTTCCATTTCAAACCTCCTTTGGAGGTCTGTCTTAAAGTTTGGTGTTCAGAAAACATGCAGTTGCCCGGGAAGGAAGGAGGTGAGACAGGAGCCTGTTTATTCTGTTGTTGAGGAGCACGTTCCTTTGTTCAGTGGTTCCGCATCCTAACTGTGCCCCAGCATCGTTGGGGGAGGTTTTTAAAAACGTGGATGCTGGCCAGGAGCGGTGGTTCACGCCTGTAATCCCAGCACTTTGGGAGGCTGAGGGGGGGAAGATCACCCAAGGTCAGGAGTTCAAGACCAGCCTGGCCAACATGGTGAAACCCCATCTCTACTAAAAATACGAAAATTAGCCAGGCGTGGTGGTGCATGCCTGTAATCCCAGCTACTCGGGAGGCTGAGGCAGGAGAATCGCTTGAATCCTGGAGGTGGAGGTTGCAGTGAGCCAAGATCACGCCGCTGCACTCCAGCCTGGGCGACAGAGCCAGACTCCATCTCAAAAAAAATAATAATAATAAAGAAATGTGGATGCCTGATCATAACATCTCCCCGCTTTGCAGCCAACTTCCTAATCTTTTTTTTTTTTTGAGAGGGAGTCTCGCTCTGTCACCCAGACTGGAGTGTAGTGGCACAATCTCGGCTCACTGCAAGTTCTGCCTCCCGAGTTCAAGCAATTCTCTTGTCCCAGCCTCCCAAGTAGCTGGGATTATAGGTGCCCGCCACCACACCTGGCTAATTTTTGTATTTTTAGTAGAGACAGGGTTTCACCATGTTGGCCAGGCTGGTCTTAAATTGCTGACCTCAGGTGATCCAACCGCCTCGGCCTCCCAAAGTGCTGAGATTATAGGTGTAGGCCAACGCGCTAAGCTCCAGCTTCCCAAACTTATGCCACTGGGTGAACCATCTGGTGGCTGGGGGCCACTTGTCCCTGGTTAAGAAGGGTGGCTTGAGTTATCTCACTGGAATTAAACAATAGCGCTACTTTATATCAAGCAGTTACATGGTTGGGCCCTAAGTACTTTTCATACATCATCTCATAGAATCCTCCAGCACCCTGTGAGGTAGGTTGTTGTTGGAGCCACTTTACAGTTTAGGAAGTTGAAGCTTTGAGAGGTGAAATCGCTTTGCCTTAGAGTCCTGGGCCAGGAAGTGATGAGATTCTGACCAATCGTGGGAAGGCTGGCCCTGAAGAGCACCCAGAGGACTGAGGAGGGGGTAATGAGGCCAAGGTGAGGTGGGACCAGGCAAAAGGATGGGCTTCTCACTCCCCGTGGGCCTGCTGTAGTCTCCCCTCATCAGGACGCCTCCTTCCTGTACACGGAGCCCCTGGGCCGGGTGCTGGGCGTATGGATCGCAGTGGAGGACGCCACGCTGGAGAACGGCTGTCTCTGGTTCATCCCTGGCTCCCACACCAGTGAGGAACCCTGTCTCTTCTGCCCACTTGGGACTCCCCACCCCCTAGGGAGAGGGACCCCGAGAAAGAAGGAGTTTAAGGCTCTCTATCTTGGCCTGCAGGTGGTGTGTCAAGAAGGATGGTCCGGGCCCCTGTTGGCTCAGTGCCTGGCACCAGCTTCCTCGGGTCAGAGCCAGCCCGGGATAACAGCCTCTTTGTGCCCACCCCAGTGCAGAGAGGTAGGCAGATGCAGAGGGCAGAGAGGCAGGGGGCTGAGTCCATCAGTCTGTGACTACCCGACATCCAAGAGGTTGCCCTCGGGGTCATCTGAGGGCAGTGAAGTCACAGAAAGAGGAGGGCTGGATGGGGGCTGGGAAGTCAGGAAGCCGCATGTTTTCCTGCAAGCTGACCCAGATCACGCTAGAATCCACACTCGGCTACTTATAGGCTGTTCCTCTGGGCGAATGACTGACTCCCTGAGCCTGAATGTCCCCAAACGTGAAGTGGGAAGTCAGTGAGATGATAAATACGTGGACACAGAGTCTGCCTAGTGCATGGCCACTGCTCAACCAATGTCGGCTGTTGGGCGGGTCCTTTCTCTTATGAAAAGGGAAAACCAATGTGTAACTCAGCATCACCGGAGAGGTCCCAGTGGACTGGCACAGTGCAGAGGGCTTCTGCCTGATCCTGCAAAGACCTCGGGAGGGCAGGCCCTTCCTAAGGCTTGCCAAGGCCACAGTCCACAGCAGAGGGGACTCGAACCCAGAGGAACTCGCATCTCAGCAGCTTAGCTTCCGACCCTGTGGGAGGCTGCAGGTGCCTGAGCTTTCAGGGAAGGGAATGGGGATGGATGGGGACCACAAAACCGCTGGAGGGAGGAGGGCCCGTGTCCCTTCCTGCCCTGGGGAGGGGGGATGTGGCGCTGGTGGGTTCCTGACCTGCTTGTGTCTCTGCCAGGGGCCCTGGTCCTCATCCATGGAGAAGTGGTGCACAAGAGCAAGCAGAACCTCTCTGACCACTCGCGCCAGGCCTATACTTTCCACCTCATGGAGGCCTCTGGTACCACCTGGAGCCCAGACAACTGGTAGGTGACAGGGAGGGTGTGTGCGCCCGACAGTCCCCTGGAGGCTGGGAGCAGTGACCCTGCACCTCAAGGTTATCTCCTCTATCTTCTGCAGGCTCCAGCCAACAGCTGAACTGCCCTTTCCCCCACTGTACACCTAAAGGCTTTCACAGGGCAGGAGCCCTGGCCCCTCCCGGGTGAAGCTGTGGGCTGCAAACAGCAGCGTCTTGCTCAGCCTCTTGGTTGCAACAGGGAGGTCTTGTCTCCCCTCCTGGGCTTTCCTCCTGCCCTGTGGGCAGCAGCCTGGGCTGGGTCAGGAGCTTCCCTAAGATCTTCATCTGTCTGCCTCCCTACTGCCCCAACATAGCCTTGAGGAGGCTTCTCAGCCATCAAAGGGTTCTGGCTCCTTCTCACTTTCCTCTCCTCTCAGATGGAACTCTGGTTATTATGGTGTTAGTTATTGAATAAAAATGACTTCAGAATGCAGCTTCCTGACTGAGCCTTCTTTCCCAAGCAGCATTGCTTTCCAGACAAGAAAACTGCTTTCCAGGCCGGGTGCAGTGGCTCACGCCTGTAATCCCAGCACT